GACCAGGTGTATTGTCAATGAGCAGTAATATTTTGAAAGGAACCTTTTTTTCTCAGCAGTAGGTCTCAACAGTGGGCTTAAAATACTCAGTAAACCATGTTGTCAGCAGATGTGCTGTCATCCAGGCTTTGTTGTTCTATTTACAGAGCACAGGTAGAGTAGATTGGGCATAATTCTAAAGGGCCCTAGGATTTGGGGAATGGTAAATGAGCATTGGCTTCCACTGAAAGTCACCAGCTGCATCTTGTTAGCTGACATCCCTAACAAGAGAGCCAGCCTGACCTTTGAAGCTTGGAAGCCAGGCATTGACCTCGCCTGTCTAGCTATGAAAGTCCTAGATGACATCTTCTTCCAATAATAGAAGGCTGTTTTACCCACACTGAACATCTGCTTAGTGTAGCCACCTTCCTGAATGGTCTTAACTAGATCTCCTGGAGAACTTGCTGCAGCTTCTACACCAGCACTTGCTGCTTCCCCTTGCACTTTGATGTCATGGAAACGGCTTCTTTCCTTAAACCTCATGAACACAGCTCGGCTGGCCTCACACTTTTCTTCTGCAGCTTCCTCACCTCTCTCAGCCTTCAAAGAACTGAAGAGAGTTAGGGCCTTGCCCTGGATGAGGCTTTGACTTAACGGAATGTTCTGGCTGGTTTGATCTTCTATCCAGACCACGAAAACTTCCTCCATATTAGCAGTGAGGCTGTTTCACCTTCGTATCATTCACGTATTCACTGGAGTAGCATTCTTAACCTCCTTCAAGGACTTGTTCTTTTCACAACTTGGCTAACCGTTCGGCACGAGAGGCCCAGCTTTCAGCTTATCTCAGCCTTTGACATGCCTTCCTCCCTAAGCTTCATCGTTTCTAGCTTTTGATTTAAAGTAAAGGACATACGACTCTTCCCTTCACTTGAACACTTGGAGGCCATTGTAAGGTTACTAACCGATCTGATTTCAATACTGTTGTGTCTCAGGGAATAGGGAGGCCAGAGGAGAGGGAGAGGGATGGGGGAACAGCCGGTCAGTGGAGCAGTCAGAACACACACAACGTTCATTGATTAAGTTTGCCGTCTTATATGGGTGCAGTGCACGGCACCCCAAAGCAATTACTACAATAGTAACATCAAAGATCACTGATCACAGCTCATCATAACAAATATAATCATAATGAAAAAGTTTGAAATATTGCGAGAATTACCAAAACGTGACACAGAGATACGAACTGAGCAAAAGTTGTTGTGAAAATGGTGCCGATAGACTTGCCCAACGCAGGGTTGCCACAGACCTTCGATCTGTGAAAAAATGTAATAAAGCAAAGAGCATCAAACTGAGGTCTGCCTGTAGATGAAAAGGACAGAGACAAAGCAACCCATCGCAGTGGGCCAACCTTACTTAAATCCCGATTAAAACAAGATGTGAAAAGAAAAAGATTTTGAGGTGTTCACGGGAATTTGCATAATGATTGGTTATTTGATGACACGAAGGATATTAAGGTGTAATAACAGAAGCGTGATACCATTTTACAAAAGTCTTTATCTTTTAGGAAATATATACTAGAATATTCATGGATTAAAAAGAAAAGCACATGGGATTGACGTATATACACCAATATGTATAAAATAGATAACTAATGAGAACCTGCTGTATAAAAAAAAAAGCACAAAATGGATGGAACCTGAATCTATTGTAAGAACGCCTGTCGTTAACTTTCAGTGTACAGCGCCAATGAGGAATGGAAGGAGACAAATAATGCCTGTGGGACAGTCGCAAGGATGAGAGTTTGTACAAGACAAATGACCCGGAGTCTTCAACGAGTCAAGGGCAGGAGGGAAGCAGGGAGGGAGGACTGTCCGCCTTGGAGTAGGAGACGCCCGGTGAGGACCTCGTTTTACTCATAACTCTGACCAGCTGGGAATCAAAGAGACATTTTTCAGCTGTGGGGGAAATGCAGCTGTGGATGGGGGGGGGCATCGGGTAGTCTCAAGGGATTCACATTAATCATCTGAGATGCTGTTGGGTGAGGAAACGCTCATAATGGGATTCGGGATGGGCTTCAGAACACATAATTGGCAATCTTGACGTTTGGCACCGATAAAGTAAGTGTGGCCAAACCATGATCATGTGGGACTTCCCTGGAGGTCCAGTGGTTAAGACTGCGCTTTCACTGCTGAGGGCCCGGGTTCGATCCCTGGTTGGGGAACTAAAATCCCATAAGCTGCACAGAGTGGCCAAAAAAACCAAAAAACACTCTTTTAAGCCAGAGCCCCATTTATCTTCATTTTGTCACTTCTGAGAGCCACACAGTTACCAAAGAAAAGCATGTCTCCTGTTCCTCTTAGTGTGAAGCCACCATGCAAGCAGGACCCTAAATGGGCCTCTGTGAAGGAGAGGGAGAGGGTGGGTATAGGGGGGATGGCGGGGGGCACAGAGGGCACATCCCGTCCACATGGTGAAAATCGTGGCCTCTATCCTGGCTTGGCCACCTAAATGGTGTGACCCGGGCAAGCTCCCGGATCCCTCAGTGAAAAAAGCAGGGTGCTGACTGTGCGGGCGCCTGGAACGTTCCAGAAGATCAGAGTTCATCTGTGCAGAGGGTCGAGACCAGCTCCGGGCTGGTAAAAAGCTCTGGAGGAGTTCACACTGCTGTTGCCATGGGGATGTGCAGGCCCCTGTGTTGCCAAGTCAGATGTTTTTCAACAGAAGCTGGGAGTTTTGATGTGGCATCTCTGGATTTTTGAAATTTAAAACAAAAAAAGTGTCAAACGCCGAAGAGTCCAAACTGAACATATCGGTGGATTCCATGGGGCCCGAGGGCCAGGAGTTTGTAGCCTCTGCCCTGATGCTTTGCAGCCACTTGGGGAGCCCATCCAGCTGGCATGGGTGACCGGGTGCCTACTTTAGGCCAGGCGCTGGCCTGGCGCTGAGCCAGTCATTAGCCTGGTCTTTGCCCGCCCGGCTCCCAGACCAGGAGAGGGAGCCCAGTATTTGCCGTTTACCTTCGTCCCAGGGAGCCCGACAGAATTGCTTTAGTGGAGGTGCGCACAGAGGGCGGGGCCCCACCGACAGCCCCTCCCAGCCCCTGTCGGCGCCCCGCTACGCCACGACCTTTGTCTGATTCCCTCCCCCGTGCCTGAATGTGTTTCTGCTGGCATCCAGCAAGTCCCAGGAAAGCCCGGAGGCCCCCAGCCTGCCGCAGTTTCTCTCTTCCTACTCAGGTGTCCGGATGGATGACTTTTCATGATGTTGGTCTTGCGCGTCTGGCTCAGCTCAGCACTGCACAGGGGTCCCCCCTGGACCCCCCAAACTGAAGTAGCCCACTCGCACGTCTCCAGATGCCATTCTGTGTCCTGTTCTTCGCTGCACTTACCGCTACCAGAAATGTGTTTTGTACGGAACGTGTTGCTGGTCCCTGTCTGCTGCATCCTAACAGCAGGGACCCCATGTGTCTGGTGAAGTCCAGAGGACTTAGCTTGTCCTCAAGAACTATTTCGGGCACAGGAGGTTAAATAAATAGATGAACGGAGAGTTACATTCCATCTTTACGGCTCAGAAATGATGCTAAATCCACCTGCCACTCAGTGGGCAAATAGTTTGTTTACCGGGCGCCAGGGACTGTGCGGGGAGATGTTAAAATGACTTTGTCCACGACTTCCCCAGCGGTCCAGTGGTTAGGACTCTGCGCTTCCACTGCAGGGGGCACAAGTTCGATCCCTGGTTGGGGAACTAAGATCCCGCATGCTGTGCGGTGCAGCCAAAAACACCAAACCCAAACCAAACAAAATGACTTTGTCCCCACCCTCGGAGAACTCACCAGCTCTTCACCCGGGTTCTAGATGCTTCCAACAATCTCCTCACTGTCCCCTAGATAACGCAAAACTCCATTTCCCTGTCAACAACTCCTCTCCCCCGGGGTCTTGCCCCTTCAGATCTCCATCCAAGGTGGGGAGGAGACCCGGCTTCGCACCCTCGCAGGTGTTGGGGTCACTCACAATGTGCTCAAACTCCTTGGCTTGCCTCAGCTCCCGGGGGAAGCCGTCAATGAGGAAGCCCCGGCTGTCCAGGAAGGACAGCATGTGGTCACTGATCATATCAAGGATATGACACCCTGGGGAGGGAAGGGGAGGCTGCATTCGGGGCTCAGGGCCCCTCACCTGCAAGGTCACCTTGGCAAGTTCTGGTGTATTTGGGGGAACACCCACTGCTGGGGTCTCTGGAAGCACTTTTTTTTTTTAATTTTTATTTATTTTTGGCTGTGTTGGGTCTTCGTTGCTGCGCGCGGGCTTTCTCTAGTTGCGGGGAGCGGGGGCTACTCTTCGTTGTGGTGCGCGGCCTTCTCATTGCGGTGGCTTCTCTTGTTGCGGAGCACGGGCTCTAGGCGTGCGGGCTTCAGTAGTTGTGGCTCGCTGGCCCTTAAGCACAGGCTCAGTAGTTGTGGCACACGGGCTTAGCTGCTCTGCAGCATGTGGGATCTTCCCGGACCAGGGCTTGAACCCGTGTCCCGTGCATTGGCAGGCGGATTCTTAACCACTGCGCCACCAGGGAAGCCCTGGAAGCACTTCTGAGAACGAGGCTCGGCCACGGTCCTCTGGGCGGGTGTCTGCTACACGCCAGGCTTGCTGGGCTCGTTTGCTCATCACTGTCAAGAGGAACTGGGGTGACCTCCATCTTACAGTGAGGAATCGGGGGCAGAAGGGGCCACTGACATACAGGCCCGGGGTCACAAAGGGAATAAATACTAGCTAAGTTTACTGAGCATTTCTTAAGGGCCGGGAACTCTGCCAAGCGCTTTATAGGAACGACATCACCTGACCCACACCCCAGCCTTCTGCTGGGGGTCCAGCTGCTCTCACATTTTACAGTTGAGGACACAGAGGCTCAGGGCAGCAAAGCAGCAGCCAGTGGCCCCAGACTTTGAGGCCCCTTGGCTTCCACAGGGCCTTCCCGGGAAGCTCCTCCCGATGTATGCCCTTCATCCCTCTGCCCCCGCACCCGGGACCTCTCACTGTGGGCACCAGGAGCCCCTTCAGCATGACGTCATGAATCTTCGGGCCCTGCCGGGTGCCTTGTTGGGCCTTCTGCCACAGCAGCTGGCCCAGCCCCATGTGGCAGAAGCCGTACTTGTTCGCCATGTTCTTGCACTGTGTCTCTTTGCCGCAGCCTGGGCCGCCCATCACGAAGATGATCAGGGAGGACTTGAGGATGTCTGCAGTGCCCAGGCAGGAAGGAGGGAGAGGGGTTGGTGCCTGTAGGGGCCAGCGAGCGGGCACCACGGTGACTGTGTCCACAGCTCAGTGTGTGTACTTGGTGACACCGGACACAGGTCTGCTGGCAGAACTACTTCTGCCCTAGGGTGGCATCTGGGGGTGTGGGTCCACGCCCAGTGGTATATCCAGGCATGGCGCACATTAGTGCTGCTGCGGGTTGTGTGGATGAGGATGGGAACCCAAGCAGTCCAGGCCCTTTGCACGCAGCATATCCTTGAAGCGTCACAACGGCCCCATCATCCCATTTTACAGCTGAGGAAACTGAGGCTCAGAGAGGGGCAGGGACTTGACCATCCCTCCCGTCTCACCCGTTTCCCGTCTACTTTTACTGCATTCCAGCCCAGTGGAATTGGCTGTCCCTTGAACTCATCACCCTGCTGCTGTCATACCCACCCCCGCTCACCGCTCCCCACCCCTGGAATTCCCTACCCTAGTTCCCTTCAGGACACAGCTCACCCATCAGGTCTTCTCTAAGCTCTGCCCAAAGAGCCTCCCACTCCATCATTCCCAGTCTTTTTTAATAAATTTATTTATTTATTTTTGGCTACGCTGGGTCTTTGTTGCTGTGCGCAGGCTTTCTCTAGTTGCAGAGAGGGGTGGCTACTCTTTGTTGCGGTGCGTGGGCTTCTCATTGTGGTGGCTACTCTTTGTTGTGGAGCATGGGCTCTAGGAACGCGGGCTCAGTAGTTGTGGCTCGCGGGCTCCAGAGCGCAGCCTCAGTAGCTGTGGCGCACGGGCTTAGTTGCTCCACGGCATGTGGGATCTTCCCGGACCAGGGCACGAACCTGTGTCCCTTGCATTGGCAGGCAGATTCTTAACCACTGCGCCACCAGGGAAGTCCCTCATTCCCAGTCTTAGAATCCCATTCCCTCCAGCAATGGCCACGATCAGTAAAGACTCTGCCTGTTTACTTGTTCTTGTCTCCCCAGCCAGACTCTGTACTCCATGAGGACAGGGTCTATCTGTCTTTCTCGTCCCTATATTTCTAGTAGTTGGCATGGTTTCTGACATATCGTAGTGGATGAGGAATAGATGAATGTCCGTAACTATCAGACACATCTATGGAGTGCTGTAGTCTATGATGCAGTTTTGTGGTCTTGCTTCCCTCCCCTTTTTCTTAGCCAACTCCTAGTTTAAACCTTCCCTCTTCCCTGAGCCCTCAGGGCCACCTGCTCTTTCCCTGTGGCAGCCCTGTTCCTCCTGGGTTGTAGATAGCATTTTCGGAGACTGTCTCCACCACACTGTAATCTCCAAGAGGACGGGGAGCTGGTTTGCCACATTCACCGTGGACTGCCCAGAACCCTGCACAGCAACCGCTAAACTGGATCGCTGAATGACTGACCCTGAGCATGCGCAGTTCTGTGACTACCACGGTGGGGGAGGAGGGGCGTGGGGGGGTGGACTTGGGGGGGGTGGGGTACCTGTATTTTCCTGCCCTACACAGTCTCCTTCCCTTCCCCCCAGTAAGCCAGCCACCCCCGCGATATTACCCTTCTCCTGGGGCCTCAGGGGCCTGCCCATTTGGGGCAGCTTGGACTTGCACAGACCCATCCTGCCAGCAGCCTATGGGGTGATCGCGCCCCATCCCCACCTAGGCCCTGACCCCTCCTGGCTCGGTTCAACGTCCCAAGGGCCCCTGGCCCGATCATTTGGCGAGACGATAGGGTTACCCCCGGGGTTAGGGGTAAGAAATGAACCCGAAAGTGGCTCAGGTAAGTGCCGCAGCAGTTGGGTGCGAAGAAGGCCTCGGTTGCTGTGGTAACGCAGCCTCCTCTGACTCACTTCCGGAGCGGAGTAGCGCATGCGCAAACGCGTCCAAGAGCCCACGAGCTGGGCGAGTTTCTCCCTCCCCTCCCAAGATGCCCGCGGTGGTAAGTGGGACGTCACGTGGGGGGGCGTTCCCACGCGGCGTGATGGGGGTTATCGCGCTATATATTGCGGTCAGCCAGCGCTCCAGGTGTAGAAAGAGTTGTCTTTAGCTCAGAGTCGGCTTCCGCGACTCGGCCTGCTGGAGAGCTTCGCTTCCGGTATAGGCGGCCGCGCAGGCGCAGGTGTGGCACTAGAGGCCTCCGAGGTTGACCGCTGACCCAGTGCCGCCTCCGGATTGATTTTCCCAGGATCTGCTGTACCCCGGGCTTGGGGTCTTCTATCGGAGCCAGAGGCCCGACACCTTGAGGGTGGCTTCCGCGGGACCGAGGGACGCGGACCCCGGGGAAGGCGAAAAGGACGAGGTTCGGACCGGTCCCCGACCATCGCCCATCGCCCATGGCGGCCCTCGTAAGTGTGCGGCGAGGCGGTTCGGGGCGTCCAGGTGGTGGGTTCTGTAGCCCCTCCACTCACCGTCCTGCTTTCTCTCCCCTCAGGGCCCCAGCAGCCAGAATGTCACTGAGTATGTCGTCCGAGTTCCCAAGTAAGTCCCTGACCCTCACCTCCCCCTCTTCCCTCAAAAAGGGATTAAAATTTCACGAGCCTCCAGACGTGCCTGGCACCTCCTGATTCTCCTTCCAGGGCTGGGGTTGAGCTGAGGCCTCTGGGGCATCACTTTTTTGAATGGAGTGAATGAATGAACGAGTACATTAATATACAGTAAGACGCAGCCCCCTGCCTAGCATTCCCTCTGGCAGGAATGCCAACTGTGACAGTTGGCAGGAATGCCAACTGTGACTCTGCTGGGTGGATTCTTCACTTCCGGGATTTTCCTCCTTCAGTAGGCATTCCCTGCCTGCCCACCCCCCGGCCCAGGGCTGAGCTCCCAATTATCCCCATATCTTGGGTTCCTAGAAATCTTTGTCCCTTTTCTCTGAATGGGCTTGGGAGTATGGATCCCACTTTCCTGACAGACTGGGAACCTCTGGGTTCTTTTATGGGCCCCCAGCATGAGCGCAGGCACAAAGGGCTGAGCCAGGGAGGGTTTACTGAATGAATGAATGATTGAGCACTGCCTTTTCTTGTCCATTCCAGAAATACCACCAAAAAATATAATATCATGGCTTTCAATGCAGCCGATAAGGTCAACCTCGCTACTTGGAATCAGGTAAGTCCCGTTTCTGAGGGCGTGAGAGAACCTGATCCTGGCCTTGGTGGTTGTAATAGTTGCTTAGTTGTGATAGTAACTAAGGCTTAGTATCCTCAGCTGTCCCTGGGTGGAGATAAGTGATGACTAAGGCCCAGGCTGAGCTGCTGGGCATCCCTGGGGGTGAGATATGTCTGGCCCTGCAGGAGGTTTCTCCTGAAAGGAGAAATTGTGTCCACTGATGGGCATTTTTTTTTTTTTCTGCAGTATGTGGGCCTCTCACTGTCGTGGCCTCTCCCGTCGCGGAGCACAGGCTCCGGATGCGCAGGCCCAGCGGCCACGGCTCACGGGCCTAGCTGCTCCGCGGCACGTGGGATCTTCCCGGACCAGGGCACAAGCCCGCGGCCCCTGTAGAAAGGTCTTTGGAAACTGTCTTAGTTTGTAGAGGTTGCTATAGCAGCATACCAGAGACTGGGTGGTTTATAAACAACAGACACGTATTTATCACAGTTCCAGAGGTTGGAAGTCCAAGATCAAGGTGCCAACAAGACTTGGTGTCCGGTGAGGGTGTGCTTCCTGTTTCATAGCTGGTACCTTTTCACTGTGTCCTCACCTGGCAGAAGGGGGACGGAGCTCTCTGGAATCCTTTATAAGGGCACACATCCCACTCATAAGGCTCCACCCTCATAACCTAATCATCTCCCAAAGGCCCCACCCCAGATACCATCACACTGGAGATTAGGCTTCAACAAATGCATTTTGGGGGAATTCCCTGGTGGTCCAGTGGTTAGGACTCCACGCTTTCACTGCCGAGGGCCGGGGTTCAATCCCTGGTTGGGGAACTAAGATCCCACAAGCTGCGCAGCAAAAAAAAGCAAAGGCATTTTGGGGGGACACAAACATCCATCCGCAGCAGAAGCCATTAAAGGCTTAGAAACAGAGAACTGTAAAGTGCTTTTGCCACTGTGGGGTCGAGGGCAGGTGAAGGGGACGGGGCGGAGGTGAAGGCTGTGGTCCAGGTGAGCCATGATGGGGTTTGGAGCAAACAGATTTTGAGAAGTGGCTGGGTTCTGGGGTTTCTTTCTTTTTCTTTTCTCTTTTTTTTTTGAATTTTACTTATTTATTTTTTATACAGCAGGTTCTTATTAATTATCTGTTTTATACATATTAGTGTATATATGTCAGTGCCAATCTTTTTCTTTCTAACTTTTCACTGGGAAATAATTTCAAACTTTCAAAAAGCTGCAAAAATTGACATAGTACAGGGCTTGCCCAGATCCCTTCACCCACATTTCACCGAGCGCCTTTTTGCCAACCAGGTGGCTTTGAGTGCCCGCCGCGCAGCTTCGGGGGAGGAAAGGGTGTTGGTGGTGGGATCAGGCCCCCGGATGAGAGGTGTTGCTTCTTGTCCTCCCAGGCCCGGCTGGAACGCGACCTGAGCAACAAGAAGATTTACCAAGAGGAGGAGATGCCCGAGTCGGGCGCCGGCAGCGAGTTCAACCGCAGGCTCCGAGAGGAGGCGCGGAGGAAGAAGTACGGCATAGTCCTCAAGGAGTTCCGGCCCGAGGACCAGCCTTGGCTGCTCCGAGTCAATGGCAAATCAGGCCGGAAGTAAGTGCCGCTCTCGACCCCACTCCGCGGGTGCCCTCGGCTGAACTCTCATGTGCCTGCTGTACGGCGGGGGTAACAGCCCAGGAGTGACAGCTCATCCTCCTGCGAAGGGTTTTACTTGGGTAGATGAGCTGACGGGATGCCCGGGCAGGAGCTCTGAGGGCCGGGATGCCCGAAGCCCGGGCTCTGGTACTGTGGCACCCAGCGAGGGGCCACCTGGGTTCGGGGGGTGGGGAGGACAGAGGTTAGGGGGATGAAGGGCACTTCGGCAGAACAGCGAGCACGAAGGCACGAAGCGCCGAGCCCTAGGGACTGTCACAGCGCATGACAGTGACAGGGTGGGCAGATGGATAGGGCGGTGGGCGCCAGGCTGCAGCTGGACTGTGGGTGGGCTGGGGCCCAGGGGAGCCTGAAGGCTGTAGGCAGGGAAGGGGCACGCTGTAAGACTGCCTCCACTTGCGGGTGATGCCAGAGGCCAGGAGGGGGCTGGCAGTGGTTCAGCCCCCAGGAAGATTCTGGAGGCAAATCCGGAGGGGTCTGACTGTAGGGCCCTGTGCTCTTCATGGCCAGAAAGGACCATGACATATATAATGCAAAGGAACCCTAAGCCCTCTCTGCAAGGTGGGGAGCCGTGCTTCCCAGATGTGGAAATCCAGGCTCAGACAGTCGAAGGGCCAGCTCAAGGCCTTCCAAGCCTCAGATTCTGCTGGGAGGACTCAGGTGGCTCTGGAGAGGGGGTAGGCCTGGGGTTGCAGCGGGGTGTATGAGGGTGGGGCTGGTGCCTCTTCCTCTGGCCGACAGTAACCTTAACTCCATGCAGGTTCAAGGGCATAAAGAAGGGAGGTGTGACAGAGAACACATCCTACTACATCTTTACCCAGTGCCCTGATGGGGCTTTTGAGGCCTTCCCCGTGCACAACTGGT